TTCTTGGTGAAGTCAATTACACAAAAAGTGTTGATGATATTTTTTTGTTAAAATTTTTGGTGTTTTTTTACCTTTATGAGCTTGCTACATGAAAGGTTTTGATGCAATGTATTTGATAGTAATAGATCATATAAAGCCACATGAGATTAAGACCTGATTAGGTTTTGGGGTTTGAAATGTGTATTTTAGGTGCGTTTTTTTGTGTCAAAATAGATATTTAGGATCTTTGTGAGCTTGATTACAGTAAAAGTTTAGATGCAATGTATTTGAGAGTGATGAGGTGTGCAGCTTATTATAAATTGGGCTTACTAGTTAATATTAATTAGGGTTGGACCATTTGATTTTTGAGGGGGGAGGTCAGCTCAGTGAAAGGCAAATTTTTGTCAGTAGGTTTGCTTGCAATTTTTCCACCATATGAATTCTCCGAATGCGTCAAATCTACCGTCTACTGGCTTCCTGTGGTCATCTACATTGCCCAGGCCGACGTGGGACAATCCAGTAAATAGGACATTATTATAATAGTTGAATCGTGATCGTGTGTGTATTGAACTGCATCTATCACTTTTGTACCACTATGGTGTAAATTGTATTCATATCCACCAATGTGTACTACATGTATATACTATGATAGTGCATTCCAATAATACATCTATGAGACGTATGTTTTGCATAGTGGTGTCTTTATTAATGAAACTATTTATATATTGTGTTGAGCAACACCAACGCGTATTAGTCCCCACGATCATTCAGTCCGATCAGCACACTGTCGTTATTTTAGTGGATATAGTGTTATAATTACACTGGGGTTGGTATTGTTGCTAAATACCCGAGTACCCTACCCTGACAGTAGCAAAGACTTGATATTTTACTGCCAGGTGGGATGGATTGATACTTTGATAAGGGTTGGTCCCTCAGACCATCATAAACATCCATCCTCTCCTTCCATATCTGAATGCTGAGGTGTAATGACTCACTTTGAACAAGCATTGATAATACTTAGTCCCCGTTAAATATTAGCTGTAGTCGATTTAAATGTTCAGTACAAGTGACATGTAGAAATGAAAGATCAATGTTTTTTTTTAAAACTAACACAGATTATAGATTGTGTTACTGTCAGTATAGTACCTACATGGAAACTTTGAACTGAAAAGTTCAGAAGAGAGAAGAAAGAAACAGTTCCGAACATGTTTAAATATCAGAGTTTAGCAAATTTGTGAGACCAAATTGCAGCCAGTCAGCCATATTTAATCGAATCATAACGAAAATTGGCATATGTAGGTCACCATAGATTGTCTGTATACCAAGTTTGTACGAGATCGGTCAAAGGGTGTCCGAGAAATGGCTCCAGATGGACACAAGGACGGACAGAACCCAAATTAATAGTCCCCGATTTTTGGGCATTGTAACAAAAAGGACTAAAGTGCAGGTGATTTCTACATGTACTAAAGTGGCTGATCACAGTGGAATGGTTGGTGTGAGTGAGTTGGGTGGTGTGAGTGGAATAGTTGGTGAAAGTGAAATGGGTGGCGAGAATGAGATGGTAGGTGTGAGTGATCGAGGTAGGTGGTGACAATGAGATAGTAGGTGTGAATGAGGTGGGTGGTGAGAGTCGATTGTAGGTCAGAACGAGATTGCTCTGTAAGAGTGTGATGTAAAGCACTTGCTGACAAAAATTGTTATTAATATTTAATATCACTTATTTTAATATTTATTTTATTACATTTAATTTATTTTTGACTCCCGTGTGCAAAGCACACAATGGGAGTCTTTGCAGTTACCCTGTGTGTGTGTGTGTGTGTGTGTGTGTGTGTGTGTGTGTGTGTGTGTCTGTGTCTGTGTCTGTTTGTCTGTCCGTTCCACTGATATCTCAAGAACCGTATGTTGGTTTTTAATGAAACTTGGTGTATAGAAACCTGATTTGCATGATAATTAGCTAATTTATAGCTGTTCCTTGACTGTTCAACTGATTTCTAAAGAGCCATTCATTAAATGTTGATGAAACTTGGTACATAGATGTCTGGAATAATGCACAGACGTGATTAGTTTTAGGTAAAAATCTATGCATATAATTATCCTAATTTACATAATGATTAGTCAATTTTCGGCTTTTCCACGGATATCTCAGGTACTGATCATAACATTTCAATAAAACTTGCATAGATACATAGGACGGTGCACAGACAGATGTGTGAAATATTGATTACCTAATTTGCATAATTAATCAATTTTCAGCTTTTGATATTTCAAGTACTATTACTACATTACTTTTCAATGAAACTTGGTACATGCTCTAGAACAATCCAAAGACCTAATTAATTTTAAGTAAAAACGTGTTCATATTATTCAACTATTTTGCATAATTAGTTAATTTTTGGTTATAATCACATTTTAATTAAATGTCGTACATAGATAGTCTGTGACAATACACAGACCTGATTAGTTTTGGGTTAAAATCAGATAATATTAATTACTTAATTTGCATAATAAATCATAATTTTTGGTTATAATCACATTTCAAAGAAACTTCGTACATAGATGGTCTGTGACAGTACTTATCTTAATTTAATGAACCTTGGTACATATATACTCTAACACAATGCGATGATCAAAATAGTTTTAGGTTTATATTCATCTGTAATAATTACCCAATTTGCATAATAATTTACTTTTCAGCTTTCCACTAATCTAATTAGGATTAATCATCACATTATATTGAAACTTTGTACATGTGCACCCTAAAACAATATACAGACCTATATATATATGCAAGTAATATTGGCTACATAATCCCCATGGTTATTAGCAAAACAAGGACTTAAGTAGCTCCTACAGCATTGAGCATAATTATTATAAAAAATGCAAATTATTATACATTTTCTGCATAGCTATGTGGCTAATCAAAAACATCTTTCTTAGCCGTTATCACTTTAATTAAACATTTCTCAAGTGGCAGAGGAAACACTAAACCCAGTGGACAATTTTGTACCAAAATATTTCTGGCATTGAAAGGTTTAATTCATTCACAATCTTATATTATTGTTCCTTCCAAGTATCCACAGTTATTACATGGGCAAGGGTATGAAGATGTTGTATAATCCCAGTATTTCATAAATTTACCAGTAATTTTTGTATATATTATTTTTCATTTCAGTAGAAAACCTAAAAAAAAGCTCCAATTGAAAGAGGTATGTGTACATGTATTTTGAAATATTTTTAGACCTGTTCGAACAATGTTCAAAAACAGGCTCTGAAATACGACTCCGGTAGGAGTCCCTTTCAGCTTCAAAGATAACACAGCCGGGATCTTCATATTACTGATTATTCATCCGTTGTTCGTCCGTCAACAATTACATTACCATGTTCTTCTCAGAAACTGCAACTCAGAATGGTTTCAAATTTGATATGCAAGTACCTTGGGTGGTTCTCTCAGATTTGTCCATTTTGTATCTATATCCCAATTTTTGTATGTGGACAAATATTTGGGTAATTTTTGGTGAAAACTGGTATTTTCTTAAAATGGTTTCAAATCACATATCAAGTTCTTTGACTTCCTATTACAAGTACAATCTTTGCTCTATTGAAAACCCATTCCATGATAGAAAGGCAGCATTTTAGGATCATACTGCAAATTTTCGGTAATTAAACTACATATGGTTACATAACAGTTTGGTGCCTACATGCATTTTATTGGAGATGTGCTTCTAATAGAGCAAATACAGTACATGCACTTAAATGGTAAACAACAATACAATTTTTTACTTGTTCACTATCATTGTTCTTTCACTGATAATAAGACAGTGGAGCTTGTGATGTTGTTTATTTAGAAAAAACAAATAAGAAGTCCCAACTTTGCCAGTCCATACTACATCCTTGCTTCTAAGTTCTGTCTACATTGTCATTTGACTGTTTGTATTGAATTGCAGAGATACATGTACCAGACCTTACAGCGTGGATGAAAAAACACTTCGTGGAAACAAATAACAGCAAAGTGAAAACACAAGTGGTTTTCAATGATTACTCAAAGTCTGTGGGAAAAGTCTTGAAGAAAGATGACTTTTTGCAATTTGTTGAACCGATACATACTTGGGAAAGATGGTGTTGGATTTTCTAAATGTTCTTTGAAAAAAGGAAAGATTCTTAACCTAAGTGCTGTGACATTGGACAATATTGGAATCTGTGATGTGGATGATATTTGCTACAAAAATTCAGATAGATGTTCAGAAAATAACACTGATACAAATGAAACCAAAGATGATGCCAGTACCTGCATTTTTGAAGGAGACTCTTGCGGTTATGATGTGAAATTACACAATGAGGGAATCTGTGATGTGGGTGATAATATCGACTGCGACCATGCCCAAAGAACTTTTTTGCGTAACTTACTGTACAACACCTTGGAGCTAACATTATGTAAAACTAACTCAACTAGAGTTGTTGCAAATGGTAACCACCTCTATGAACCTAGAACTGCGTGTAAGCACAATCTGTAGAGATATGCATTAAGGATACAGATTTACAGCTGGTAAAATTCTTCGATCTTCCTGATGCTTCTCATAGAATGTTTACACATAATATTGTAACATTACTAGAAAGATATGTACCAGGATCTGAAGGAACACATCTCATTGAGCCATTTCGCAACATCAGCTATGGATCACCAGAAGATATTCAGAAAAGTCTTTCAATTGGTATCACAATACATAGATATTGGCATAGCTATGTGAAAACCACTAGTCTTAGAGTTAATGCCCTGAAAGGTGCTAAAGATGACCATAAGAAATGTGGGCATTTTCTCACTGCTTTCACCAATGCTGAATTGCTTTATGCAGCACAGAGTCTTCACATGTTGGCAATTTATCTGCACTTCAAGGAACTTGAACGCAGTGGTGCTCACCAAACAGATCTGGAACAGCATCAACTGAGCGAATAATATTCGAGTTGCCGCTGAGGGGAAAACAACCCAATTGCAATCAATGAATGCACAGCCAACATTCAAGGACATGCTTTCTAAGGTATCGCAAGTCCAATTTAATGAGGGGGAAGAAGAACGACTTTCTATGAAAAAGGTTAGCATACCAGCCACATCACATCGAAAAAAGAAAAACTACTTGTTTGAAACCCACAAATCAACTTTAGAATATGAGTACCCACCAACCTTTGTGGAGTTTCGGAAAAGACAGCAGAAGATGCATGTAAAGGGGTGGAAGAGGCCAAAACTTTGGTAAGAAAATTTGAAGAGGAATTGATCAAGCATGGTAATTGGGATTATGAACCTCAGTCTACTGGTAGTTTTCCAACTGGTATTGTGTCTGTTACTAAAGGATTACCTGCATCAAGTTGCCACTGTTTCTCGGATGTCTTGGTTCCTCTACCAGAGATGACTTCTACTTTTGACGATTTTAATGAAGATGAGATGACTTGTGATAAAAATGCTCCCTCTCTATCAGGTGATAGTGGATCTGAAGAGGATCCTGAGTGTATTGATGAACCGAACCATACCATTGGTGTTCGTGAGGATGAAATATGCACCTCGGAAAACAAACACTGGTACACAAGTCGCCATGTAAATAATGAACTAATGAGTATTCATATTGAGTCAGCAATTAAACTTGTACAGCTACGTGAATACATTTCACGAGAAAGAAGCAAAAGACATTTTGCATCTAAATATCTGAAAGGTTTTTAACCCACTGATGAACGTCTTGACATTGTTCTGTTTACTGATGCACTTATTAAAGTAAATAACAAAAAAGAAATAGTTCGATTGATATCATTGAGAGAAAATAGTAAAGATGTCAAGAGTGCTTCTTCAAATAATAAAAATGTCAAATTTAGACGCAGACTGTACCAGAAAATAGAGGCTGTTGGTGACAGTAATGCTATCAGAGCTGCTATCACAATCTCAGATCCAGTTAAAGTCACTCCGATGTTAAGTGGTAGATGTTTTTTAAGGAAAATTCATCTTCATGAAATTAGCAAAGGCTGTAATGATGTGCTTAAAAAATTAACATCTGAAGACAGAAGTGAAAGTGAAGATGGGGAAAATGAAGAAACTCTGGAAGTTGAAAATATAATAGACCAAAGAATCAACAAATCAAATGAGTGCCCGGAATTCAAAGTAAGGTTCAAAGGTTATTCAGAAGATGGCGATCAGTGGCTACCTGCATCTGAATTCAATCAAACTATAAACTTCACAACGACATCCAGCTACAGTGGTCGTTTAATTAAACGAAAGATAATGGATTATGAAAATCCAAGTAAGGAAGAAAAGACCATGAACATCAACAAGAAGTTCAAGACCTCTGTACTCAAACCTAAACCTGATAAAAAAACTTTCACTGAAGTGAGAACAGGAAGTCACTTCAAAACTGTTTCTTTAACAGTCACCTTCTTGCAATCTACCTGTAGCATCATCATCTGAGCGAGTCTCTGCAGCATCATCATCAAAACGAGTTTCTGCATCATCATCAAAACAAATCTCTGCAGCAGCTGCAAAACCGATATCGGCAGCAGTATCAGTTCTAAAACCGATGTCTACTGCAGTCTGTTTCAAATCTGATGTCTACTACAGTATCAGCTTCAAAACAAGTCTCTGCAGCAGTATCCACTTCAAAACCAATGTCTGCAGAAGTATCATCTTGCAATGTATCATCAGCTTCAAACCAAATGTCTACTTTACACCAGGTATCAGCTTCTACATCAAATCAACTGACAAACAACTTTTCTCATGGTGATGTTGTTCCTAGCGTTACTACGATAATGGAAAATGAAGTGATCACCACACTGAGGAAATGTAGAAGACTTGGAAAAAAGAACACTGAAGGAGAAATTTGGACTAACAGTACTATATGTGGATTTGGGGACTTTGCGAGAAGGTGAATGGCTGAATGATAACATAGGTACACCTATAATGCAATATGGAATACAGAACATATGATATTAAAAACATTTAGTGAGATCCAACTTTACTATACATTCTTACACATGGAGTATTTAATTTCCCCCAAAAATTACAAAATATACTCAATTACAATTGAAATTGAACCCCACTTAACATATAGAATTAACAATTTTCCATGGCGATCTTAACCAACTTTGACTAAACATGGCTAAATGATAGTTTTTTCAAAATTTTTCACTTTTATATTGATACTTTATCAGTCGAATAAATCATAACATCCAATAACATACTTGGCAATTCGTGTGAGCCATGGTATGTGCTAATTACAATAAATGTACCTGACCTGTCAAACCAATTACTAATTTGTACTGCAGTGAAAAGCCTGAT